AATCTGCGTTTAACGCTCGTGCTAACTCCTGTCTGCCGGTTGTTAGGCCTCTACTGCGGAGCTTACTTACTAAATTATTGCCGCTTGAAGAAACACTGGCACCATTCTTGAAGTCACCTCTTTGCATAGGGCTCCAGGCAGCAGCTGCTCCCGCCACCAAATTAAGCACAAATAAGGGGTGTTTGTAGCCATGGGGATGAGAGGAGAGACCTACTGCTCATTTCCACCTCCACCGATTATTTGGCGCGCACATTTACACTTCGACAACAATTAGGAGTGGGAGTACTGCATAGAGACAAATTGCTGCCAGAACTTGTCGCCTGTGAGGCGCAAGTAGTAAAAATGCAAAACATGGTCAGCACATCCCGTAGGTAGCGGGCCATAAAGTAACTTTGCCGACGTCGCAAGGTATCCTATTAGCTGTTCTTCAACTGCACCCACGTGTCATCACATTGGCACTGATGTGGCGAGAGTTGCAGTTCCCTCGTTATGGCAAAGCTGTCTCACCGTTGTCACTGCGACGACGATCATGGCGCGTCGTTCGGCAAGCGTAGCCATAGTCTCGACTACCACTGCTACCGTGGTCTGGACCACTGCGAAGGAAAGAGGAAGAAAGAAGGAAGGAGAGAAGGAAAGGACGATCATCATCGCGTTCAGACATAGTAGGCCAAGGTGATGAGAGCTGAAGGGTGGCGGGCTGTGAGGGCAGCAGTAGAGTCAGGGATTCAGCAACCATACACTAACTCCTGAAACAAGGGGAGTATATTGGATCAAGACTCCGCAAATGCTCACAATCTTTATGAAGTACGAAAGAAAGTCTCATGTAGCAGCTTCATTTGGGTATTCGAAATGATCTCAATGAGTGCGTCTAGAAGGTGCATTCTCGAATGCCAGCCATGGGTACGCACAAAGCCGTGGCAGTCGCAAAACTCACCCAGAAGGTAGATCTGATGTCAATACAGTCAGTTTAATCCAAACAACTCGGCAATAATTGTGTCTAATAAGAATGCTGAAGAAATTTCGACAAAATATAAGTAAGTCTCCAAATTTTTCTCAGAGCCAAGGGCATTGTTTGACTTCAAACATTGGGCACGTTAGCTATCAGGACCTCTCCACTTATCATTTATAAATTGTCAGCTTTCACAAATATGATGAGAAAACGGATTATTAGCAGTTAAAAAAACTGAAGGCAAACAAAGTTCTT